TACATCAGAACAATGGACCCTGCGTGGGACAGAGGACCCACTAAAGATAAGACTATCAAGGGTCCAGTCTGGACCATCTTAATTCTCTCTGTCTTAAAGTAAGGAGGTCTTTGTATGGCTTTTAGGTGAAACCTGACAGAATAGGAGAGGATTAGATCTACTGTTAACTACATATGTCAAAAAAAGGGTGCAGGCAGTGAAACTCATGGTTCTCAGAACTCACTACCCACTGCTCCAGGTTGATGAATCAATGATTTGAATTCCCCTAAAAAAACCAGTGGAGAATGTTAAGGGTGTGGTTCTGGGCAAAGATATGCTAACAGCCAACTTCTGCTTCTGTAATCTGTTTGCTTGTTTGATGTTATACCAGGGTGTGGTTCTAGGCTTTATAAGCTGCCTCTTTTGGGAGCTTGGGGCTGATCTCCTCGAACCCTGCGTGGTAGAGAGTCAGTCCCCGGCAGGCTAATAAAGGCTCATAATTCATCTCAATTGGCTCCGTGGATCTTAGAATTGATTGCACCACAACAGAAGTAGGGTTGGAGCCCCTACTGGCCACACTAGAGAGAGGATTCCAGCCTTCCTGGGTATGGCTTGGGGGGTCACATACCTGACTTAGAAGACACGTTGGATCCTGATGTCTCCAGGTTGCACAGGAAAGGAAAACCTTCCAGGATCTGCAAATGAAATCAAATATGGGAAACATCAACTGCCTCCTATGGATATATTGCAGGTCCCAAAAGTTTGGTGTAAGTGCTCTAGCTAGGCTCAAAGTCCAGGCGCAAAACTGTCCCTAGTCATGTTCTTCTAAACTGAGGTCACCTAGTAAAAGAGGCCATGCGTCTTTTCACAATGTTTTAGCAGGTGGCAGGTAAGAATGCCTCTGAACAGTGGGATAGAAAAGGAGGATGAGAAAGGAGAATAAAAATCAATTCTTGGGGTGATGACAAAGTTCTGGAGACAGACAGTAATGATGCTTGCACAACAATGTGAATGTCCTTAATGCCACTAACATGTACATTCAGAAATGAGTAAAATAGTACATTTTAAATTATGCACATTAAGGAGAGACCCAGTATACTTAAACTAAAAGATTTTTTAAAAAGTCCATCTATGCTATTCCATTTGTTTGTATTATCTACTTTCTCTCTTTTAATTTGATTATTTACACAAAAGACATTATGTGTATATGTGGCTGGAAACTGGGTAAACTTGAAACTGGAGATTCTTGTGTCTCCATCAAATTGGCATGTCCTAAGCCTAGAGGCAGAGGAGGGACTGAGTGACCAGTGCTTGGGTTCTCAAGACCTTCGGGCCTTCTCAGATGCTACAGGAGTCCAAAGCTGCTCCTGCTTCTGTGAGTGACATGGAAGGCTTTGGGGAAGGAGATCATGTTTCCTTCCCAGAATTGAGAGTAGAAGAGGAAATAAGCAGGTGTTCGAATAATGTCATTTTGTTCAATGATGTTTCATTATAACATTGATGAGATGCTGTAGGAACTTAATTCTTGTTTATATCAATTAGTCTATAGTAAAATTGGTTTTATTACAGGTCACCACAGAACCTTGGAGGACTTATTATACTCCAACAGGGGACAACACACAGTAAATGAGTTCCTTGACCACATCTCACTATCACAGGAAAATATAAGTTAATTTCTCCTGGGTTACTGCTTATGGTAAGAGATAAGGCATTTATTCTCAACTCTTATCTTGTGGATATTCTGGGAAGTCCTTATCCAGATGCCTTTAGATAGCTCACTGCATCTGCTTCAAGGTTCATAGAGATAACAAGCCCATTTATAATCTTTTCTAGACACTTCTGGGAACCACCCACTTAGTCTGCAGGAATGATGAGCCCCAAATTCCAGGAGACACACTTGGGCCATCTCTGCTCTGCCAGGCAGCCAGGCTCTCCTGGGGGAAGAATCTCATCCAGCCCATTCCCTCAAGGCCTCAGGAAGGGTCCTGCCAATTTGCATGAAAACCTGGATTTGTTCCTTGGAAGGGACCGTCTCACCCCCCAACATCTCTTAGGAGGACAAAGCCCTTACCTCAGTCCATAGCTGATTTTCCAATGTGTTCTCTTCAGGAGAGGTATTGGCCTGGGTAGTCCCTGGAAGAAAGCAAAAATAGGTTATTTAGCTGGAATTCAAAAATCAATGGGAACTCAAATTTGCACCTTTCGTGGCCTTGCTGCCAGCCTACACCTACATGCTCACCTTAGTAACACCTCTTGTGTTAGGAGAGTCTTAATTCCATTCCTCCAACAATCACCTCCATTGTTTGGAACACTGTGGTTCCATTAATGCAGCCCATTAAGGCAGAATCCCCAGGTTGGAAAGCAAAAGTGTTACCTGGGAGGGGTCAGCAATAACCCCACACCATGCACAGGCTCACCATCACAGATTCCTTTACCGGTTGGTTCCCTAGCAAACGGCAGAACTCTAGGGGATGGTAATGTTAATGGCTGCTGTTGTTTGGGGAGCCAGGGCAAAGCAGGGAAGGCAGAGGACATTCTAGGATAGTCTGAAGGGTGATGTGAGCTTAGGAGAAGGGCTAATCATGGGGCTTCCATAGCCATGTCTGCACATAGCGGCTAGACGGGCTGTCTTGAAGGGTCTTGCTGAAAGTAGCTGAAGCAGGAGAAAAGGGAGGTAGGAGACTATAGAAACACTGTCCTCACCCCAGCTTACTTTGGGTCAGTCTTTTAAAACAATTTTTTTAAACTTTTTAAAAACATAACTTACATGCAATAAAAAGACTCATTTTAAGTGTACAAGTTGGTGAATTTTCCCATAAAACCTTTAACCTTTTAAATATGCAAATAATAGTATAGTACAATGAACAGCACTCTCAATAAAGGAACAACAACAAAAAAAGTCACCCACGGTGCCTCTATCCCTACAACCAAAAGTGATTCCCTTTGTTGACACTTTCGTGACCACCATCAGGTAATCTTTTCATTCAGTTGTTATTAATGTGTATGTGATTTTGTATCCTGCAAGCTCCCTTTAATGTTGTATCATGAGCATTTTTCATGTCGTTTCATAATCTTGATGCCTATTTATTTAAACAGCTTCATGATACATTTATGGTACTGATGCGTAATCAGAGATCCAGGTCCCTTGCTTCCTTTGACTTCTCCCCGCCCAGTTCTCTGCCCAGGCGCACTCTCCTTGTTAAGGGCATACCATGTGAGAACCCCCAAACAACATTAGGCAAAGCCAAAGAGAGGCCTGACGTGGGGGAGAGGGCTTGATGTATTTTCCACCCCTGCCTTTATCTGCAGCTTTACTTTTTTACCCTAAAAAGAATTTCTCTGGTGTTTCATGAGGAGCACGAGTATGTTTCCAGTTCATCCCCACTGGGAAATCTGGCACTGATTTCCACACTGGAGCTCATAACAGGAAAGATAGCTATAACCTGCCCCCAGATCTCAGTGACCCTTTTGAGATTCCCAGAAGAAAGCTTTCTGGGCAGAATGAGCTATGTGATGGGAAGGCGCAGAGGTGTGGACAAATACAGAGCCCTGGAAAGGCTGGAGCATGGGGTTTGTAACTGGGGGGCAGGGGAGATGAGGGGAGAGCAGGCAAGGCTGCACAGACAGCAGCTGGGCTGTGGAGCTGCCAGTGTCAGCTCCATGAGCAACAGGAAGCCATGAGCAGTTTTTGAAGAGGCGAGTGTGGAGGTGTGTTTTAAGCTGGTCATCCATCACTCTGAGAGTAGTAGTGTGTTAGATGAATTAGAAGGGCAGAGATTTGAGACTATTTTGGTAATATTCTTTTTAAGCCAGGATAAAAACATATATGGTAGCCAACACATATAGGCAGCTTCTATGTGCCAGGCACTGTTCTAAGCACTTACATGACATAATTTCTTGAATCTTAACAACTCTATGAGATAAATATTATTATCTCCATTTTATGGATAAGGGCCCAGCAAGGTTAAATGGCATTTTTAAGGTGACACAGCAAATGGTGATGGCAGGATTTGAAAACAGGTGTTTTGGCTCCACGGGCTGCGCTTATAAGCAATAAGCTAAGTCACAGCCTAAGATCTAGACCAGGGATCAGCAAACTCTTTCTGTAAAGGGCCAGAGAGTCAATGTGTTTTGCAGACCGTACGGTTTCTTCCACAACTTCTCGGCTCTGCTGCTGTAGTGAAAGCAGCAGTAGACGATGTGCAAACAAATTAACGTTATCCGTGGAGACTAAAATTTGAATTTCCCATAGTTTTTACGTGTCAAGAAACAATCTTTTTATATTCCTCAACTATTTAAAAATGTAAAACCTTTTGTGGATATCGCCAAACTGATTTTAACGTTTTTATGGTGAGGCCCAGAAGGAGGAAAGATCAGAGCCAGAGGACTGGCTCTACCCAACTTCGAGACTTCCTGTGAAGCTACAGCCATCGAGACAGCGTGGTATCGGCAGAGGAATAGACAACTAGATCCACGGAACAGAAGGGAGAGCCCAGAAGACCCACATAAAGAGAGCAAAGTGACCTTTGATAAAAGAACAAAGGCGAAACAATGGAGAAAAGATGGTCCATTCAGCAAACAGTGCTGGAACAACTAAGCATCCAAATAAATAAATCTAAAATGAAATCTTCACTCACAGGTCATACAAAACCAGGATTTGGCTCACGGGCCATTGTTTGCCAACCAGTGTTCAATTGCGACTGCATTAGAAAAATGGTCATCGAAGAGAAATGAGAAGATGGCATCTCCTCCTGGCAATAGCCCTTGGCCCCAGGGATCCCACATGGGAGCCTGGGGTCCGCCTCTAGATTATAAGGCTCCTTACAGCCCCTCTCTGGGCTTTGCTAGGATCTTCGGACAGAGGAATACAGTGGCTGGAAGCCAACTCTACTCGGGTCTTTGAGAAATGTCCCATTCAGCACCTCTTATCCTCTAGGCTCCAAGTCTGAGGAATAAAAAATTGCCCCTCAAAGAAAGCCTTTAGTCTCCTGATATATATAGTTTTCTTTAAAAAAAAAAAATTTACGACAGCAAATATACTCAGAACTCTAAAAAATGTTAAATCGAATAATATAAGAAAATCTAGCCCGGTGCTGGCACAAAATAAATTTTGAAATATGTTAATTTTGATGAACAGTGCTGCTGTTTTATCATTAAAACAATCCAGGGAGATAGATGTCATTATCAGTATAATTTTATGGCAGCAAAAATTAAAATTTTTCTTTAGAGGGGTGAGACTGAGTTGAGAACTCCTATCTACCAACTTAGTTCTAAAAGGTTTTAAAGGCGCTCAAAATTGGCTGTTTTTGAGGATAATCAGTGGCTCCCTACATCTTTTCCTACGACTGTTATGGAATCTTCTAGGCCTTATTTTTTTTCCTCCATGGACATTCTATTATGCATTTACACACACACACACGCGCGCGCGCGCACACACACACACACACGCGCACATACACAGAGACACCCCATCTGTTGAGAGTTATAAAGGCAGCAAGAATTTGAGGGGCCAAGAGCCAGAGAGATAGGAAATGAAGAGAGGAAGCCCAATATTTGATGCTATCTTTACCCCGGAAGCATTTGCCAAATCATATAACACAAATTGGCAGGTAAGAGGCTAATGTACTGTTCAGAGCTCCATGGAGGTAGGGAAAATACTGGGGTTCAGCACCCATCAAAAAGGAGGAGCCATTTGATCCCGTCTGATCTCGGAAGCTAAGCAGGGTCGGGCCTGGTTAGTACTTGGATGGGAGACCACCTAGGAAGACCAGGTGCTGTAGGCATAAAAAATAAAAAATAAAGGATTGTAAGCTGACAAGATCCTTGCAATCTGTGAGGTTGACCAAGGGTTGCCTTGTCTAAAAAAAAAAGAAAAAAAGGAAGAGCCATGATAAATATACCAGGCTTTCAGCTGGGACTTCAGAGAACTAGACCCGAGGAGTAGGGATAAACTTGAAGTAGACCAGCCTCTAAAAAGACTGAAGCCCAGCTTTGAATCGATCTGATTCCTGTTTAGCTTGAGTTGATCTGTCCCTACCTGACCACCTGCCAAAAGCAAAAATAAAGCCTCTAGGGAAGAAGATAGCACCATCCAGAACATGAACTTATCTAAGTTTTCATACATGATGCCTGTCTTTCGATTTAAAAACTACCAGGAGACAACACAAAATAAACAGAAACCAAGAAAGAGAGGGAAAAAACTAGACAGTAATAAGTGAAAAGTGGTGGACTAATGTGGGAATAAATGTGTAATATTCACAGCTTTGTTAGCCTGATGTTTTGTACCCAGTTTGGAATAGAGGTGAACTAACCAGATACTTAATGGAGCAAACCAGGAAAGAGGAAGGGTTAAGACATGCTCTTCACATATTCCTGGCTGATTGGACATCTATTTTTGTGCTGGGAAGACCTGCAAGAGCCCCATGTAAAATTAAAGGGAAGAAAAACCGAAGAATTGGCTGTAGCTTTGTGTTTATTTTTTAACCTACACACACATCAATAGACAGAGCCTTATAAACTTTAGGTGTTTGAGCATAACCTCTCTCCAAATCGTTGGCTGGTCACTAAACCATGCAGACCCAGGTGTGACTCCTTAGATTAAGAAAATAAACACAAGAAATAAAATATCTGAACAAAGGCTTTAGTAGCTGCTCACCATGAGAAGGACAGATTCCAGAGTTTAAGTCCAGGCAAATTACTAAAAAAGAAACCAACAACCCTCATAAAAATAAAACAGAATCCAAAATTGCTAAATTTTAACAAGTATATCCAGTTTTCAACCAAAAGTTACTAGACATGCCATGAAACTGAAAAGTGAGTTCTCGTATTCAAGGAAAAAACAGTGAATGAAACTGGTTCTGAGTGGGCTCAGATGTTGAATTTTGCAGGCAAAGTCTTCAAAGCAGCTAATATATTTACATTTATACACATATTCAAATAATAAAAGAAACAATGTTCAAAGAACTACAGAAAAACAAAGACTAAAGGCTTACAAGAAGAGATATAAATATTTTCTTTTATATATATTTGTAATATATTTATAATAAGTATAAATATATAAGAAAATTCCAGAGTTGAAAAGTACGATAACTGAAAAATGAGATGGGCTCAGCAACAGACTGGAGGTGGCAGAA